CCTCAAGATGAAGTCCTCAATCAATAATGCAGGAGATACCACTGGCCTTTCCTTCAAAATATGATACTCCCACTGTCCCTATTGTTTAGCCATCTTTCCTTATTTAGCCGTCCCATAATACTTAGCCACTTTCCATTCTTGGAATAAAAAACAAGTGGAAAGACTACTTTACCCTTATTGATTAATCAACCTTTTTTTCCTGAAAAATCCTATCCCTGACCCAACACCCTTAGACCCCAAATCCCCTCCTCTATGAGTTACTCTTTCTCTCTCCTCCAGTTTTGTTATTGTCTCTACCTTTTGGAAAACCCTACCGCCAAACACTCTGAAGACATATTCCTCTCCGTCGTCCTTGAGACTCCGACGGTTGAAGATGGTGTCTAATCATTTTCCAACGATGGGGTGAAGGTATCCGCACGGTATTAAATCTGGTCGAAGAAGAACGCCGAAGAGTTGTTTCAGATGTCATAAGAGGAGGAATTCGAAGGTTTGAGGAATATCCAATTGAAGACCCATTATCCCCAAATGTGATTCAAGAATGAGAACTACGAACTATATTTGTTTTTTTATGCCATCTATTTTCTTTAATTTGGGGGCTTGTAAAGCTACTGTTGTCCGACCACTTAAATCAAGAATGAGAACTTTGAAAGTAAGCTATTGTTGTCCCTGTGAATGTGAATGCATTGTACTATCCAATTCTCCGCGTTTCGTCATTTTAAATCAGGGGCAAACTCATCCAGACAACTCTAAATACTCCTTCTCCTTATTCCTTGTGCCAGTCAACATTGGCTAAATAAATAGGGACAGAGGGAGTATACTTTTTATTGAGAGGTAGCCCTCTAAGGCGAGTCTCTTATGACCGTCTAGAGTAGACAAAGAATGCATGCTAATGTCGCTTAGATGGACATTAATGTATGTTTCCCGATCAAACACAAACTCTAAAGAATTCTTGTACGCATCCACAACCTGACCATGTGCATTAACCAACACCACGGCATGCATGTCTTTAAGCGCACCGACTTCAACAACATGTGAATCTTGGAGCGAGGCCTCCTCCTTTGCTGATTAGGAGAGTTGTAGCAATAACTCTTGCTCGTGCTCATCTTTCCTTTTGTTCACCTCAGAGATAGACAACAATAGCTACAAAAAAAGGTTAGTATCACGAGTGACACAGATAAAAGTAACGAGAAATAGGAACGTTAACTCAGTCATGGCATGGTGGCTCTTCTTCTGTAGAGCAATGTAGTCAAGAACTGAAACCTTCTCCTTCTCATTTGCCGGTCTGGGATAATAGCGGGGGTAACCCGATGTTACCCCGTAACCAGGTAGTCATCCCGTAGTAGGAATATCATTCATGCTCCGGGTGATGCGGGCTACATTACCAAAGCCCTTGCGTTTCGCTATGGATGAAGGCATGGTTGTGATACCGCCCTTGTCTTTCGTGACGGAGGGAGTCTTTGTCTTCTTATTAGGACCCTTAGTCACTACCATGATATTCATCCTCGTCGAAGCTCGGGAACATCTCCAACCGCGACATCATGTCTACAAAATATACATGTATGCGCATGTATTAGTTAATATAAGTATGTGTGTGTTATCTTCAAAAGACAGGGAAATCCGTGGATAACCTTGATCCGTGGAGGTGGAAGCACATGTACCCGAACATGGTGTCGATGAATGGAGCCCAATCGTGATTAGACGATCCTCAGAAGTAAAGACGGAGAAGCTATATGATCCTCCTGAAAGAACCATAACTCATAACTGGCCACGTCACTTGGTCAACTGAGAGTTTTGAATATGAATACTTCTTAAATCGACAAATTAAGGATAAGGGGAAAGGTAAAAAGGATCCAGATGAAATATAGACAAATTCTTTTTTCCTAATTGGCTTCAATACTCCAAGTGAGTACGTTGAGAAATACACACCCATGAGAGACTATTGGAGGCCGAACATTGCCCAACTCAGAACACATGCTTGAAAGGTTCTAGAGATGGTTCAATCTCAAGTGTGCTACACCGGACCAAAAAAGCCACCAAGTACTGATGGTCAAACAGAGTTGAGTGACAATGGGAAATTTCTAGGTCATTTAGGAACTGGGTGATCAAAGGGTGTGTGGGAAAATGAAATCCTAATTTTATAAATGGGATATGCACCCCGAAAAAGTGACCATTAGGAGGTTCAGTTACTATTTCCTCCGAGTCGGACAATCACCGTGTACGAAAAAAATTTCTTATACTTCTAGAATTTGGAAACTAAGAGGCGCGACTTACAAGATAAATAGAATTCGGGTGTAAGAATGAATATGGGTCACAATTGCGAAGTTTTGGGGGTTTAAAGTGGACAACTTGTGACGTTACGGGATAGATTTATTCGACCTCCGAATTTTCATCTGTGAAGGGGTGCGAAAAATTCTCCAATACTAGTTCATCATCATGATTCAGTAATTCTTCAGAGTTTATGGAATTTAATATATCCATAAGATGTGGAAGCTATTAAAAACAATAGAGAAAGAATATCATCAAAATTAATACTGAGTACTAAATAAACAAGATTATGGAATATACCAAAGTCATGGTCAAAGTTAGGGGTGGGCAACTTGGTTTACGATTCGGTTTTCTTCGGTTTCGTTTCGATTTCGTTTTATTCAGTTAATTCTGTTTGGAAGAACTTATACCAAACTAAAACCATTTGTGATTTGATTTGGTTTTAGTTCGGTTTCAGTTCGGTTTATCAAAATGAAAAGTATTAGGTTCAATTTGATTCGGTTTCTTATGTTTATTACTACGTATTTTATTTGATCACATTCTACATTTTAGAATTAGAAAATGAAAGTAGTAGTTCATCTCATCTTCTTTTATTTATTATTTAAATAAAATGTAAAAGATAGAAAAAGAAATAATAAAATATTATAAATTTAAACTTCTAACATCTTTTACATTATAGTTGATTGACATTTATAATATCACATAAAATATTCAAAGAAAATTAAATGAGCCGGTGGAACAAATGTTGTAATATTCACAATTTTATTCAAATGAATCATGTAAAAAAAATATACTCCCTCCGTCCCTCAATTAAGTTCTCACTTTCTTTTTTGGGCAGTCCCTAAATTAAGTTCACACTTCAATACTTTCCTTATTTGGCAAATTATCTACATCAAAACAGTGTCAAACAGTGTCAGACAGTGTATAAACAATGCAAAACAGTGCACTCCGCAGTAAAGTCAAATTTATTTTTTTAATATGTGTAAAGTCAAACCAAGAACTTAATTGGGGGACGGAGGGAGTAAATGCAATTTGCTATTGTTATCGTCAAACATCTTTTCATACAAGTAGAGTACAAAACATAACAATACAAATATGTCGAATTAACTAACTTTGTCAATTTTAATAATGAATATATAAAATGTGTAAAATTTAAAATGACTAGTATGTGTACCCGTGCACTGCACGGGAAAATGTGTGCTTAGAGTTTTTATTAAAATTGTAGCGAAAATAAATTGTATATGAATTCGTCAATTAGTGTTTAAAAGAAAATTCAATCGACTATGAATAGAGCTGTCAAAATGAGTCGAAGTCCATGGGGCTAGCCCATTTCATCTCATTTCACGGTGGGTTAGAGTTGTCATTTTCATTCCGATGAACTCACCGGTTTCATGATGCAACTGACAAGAATTGCAGGTTAACAGAGTTGACCCATGTAGGTTGAGTGTCAACCAAAATATAAACATCTATTTTTTTTTAGTTTCATTATCATCAATATTGATGCTTTATTACCAAAATAATTTTCAAACATACTTATTAATTTACAACCCTTGTTGAACTATTATTTTTATATATAATAATTATTCAAATAAATTACTCTAGCATTATTTCTATATATAAGGTTGAGTACAAATGAGAAGACACCTTCATTTGTAAAAAGAGAATTAGAATGAACTGGAATGTTAGATTTGAAAATTGTGCATTATTTGAAATAGAAATATGCGCTATCATAAATAAAAAAAAATGTTGTGACATCTTTTGTAAAAATTCAACCTTTCCTGTCCATTTAAAGTCTGAATTATTTTAACTATAAGTGTATTGTGCACCCCCATTTAAATTAATGTGTGTCATTTGAGACCATTAGGCAATTCAACGATCTAAGCTATGAAATTGGGGAGTGCTAACCCATTTAACAACGTGAACATAAATTGTGAAGTATAAATAAATGAGACAAAATGAATCTACCTTTATACATTGATTTGGTAGACCTTGTGAATTAATAAATAGATAAGTGATATCACATTTGTCCCATTAAGATCGAGACATGTCCAACTATTAAAAAGAGTTTATCTAGCTAATGTCGAAATGAAAAAGTGGGGACAATATGGTAAGAATGATTTAGAATTACATATGCATTATAATATTTGGAGCTACACAAACTTAGTGAACGAAAAAAGGAAATGTCGGAGAAAATTAATGAGACAGATGATGTAATAATTATCATATTTTGAAAACAAATAAGAAACAATTTATAAAAACCCTGAATAAGGGAGAATCTCCAAGAGTTTATGAGAAAAGAAATAGAAGTAATATTTTTATCTTAAGAGTGGCTAAAAAATGTTAATTGTTTTTATTTTTTAGTATTTGGATTTTGTAATACCGGCGAGTGCAAAATGTTATCTAATTTAATATTGAACATTATAACAAATATATACACATATATTAATATAAATACATAACTATAATACTACGTATTAGAATACATAAGAGTAGAGTTTTGGAAGTTGAATAGTTTTTTCTTCAATTTATTGTTTTGCCACATGTCATTTTTTTAATACAACAGATGTTGCCACATGTCAACAATTCCTCTAAAGGGTTATTTAAGGTTTGCTTTATTATATATATTATATAGATATAGATACTTCGTATATGTTAAACATGTATTTTTCATGTCTAAACTATTTATTTATATCTTATAAACGAACAGTGAAGATAAATACGAAGTACATGTGTGTGTGGTATACGTAGTATATTGCAAATTGTTCGGTGTTCGGTTCGGTCTAAGAGAAATTGTTAACAAGCTGATGAACGACTCCAGTATGATACAACTTCAGGCATGCAATGACCTGATCAAGTATCATATTCAAAATGACTAAATTTGGAGCTAGAGCTCCTGCATAATGAGATAACCAATATTGCAGTGTTGAATTGATACATAGTCAAGAAGGATTACAATTTCAGATCTGATGAAATCAAAGCATGTAAGATTGTGCATAGAAACAACTGCAGGGAAAAGGAACTAAGCAGATCAAATCAAGATACACTGTCGGTTGGGGGGGGGGTCTCAGGCAAAAGGCACATCAGCCATTTCATGTTCCACTGTTGCGGGCTCAATGGGATTGTAATGGTAGTAAAGCTCTCCAACATCATCACCCGATAGTTTCTTCCATCCATTTGGACCAACATGATATACTGAAAGTAACACAAAACCAGTACTCAGAAATACATGCACAGCCACAAATGACATGCACCAATTCCAAGGCTACTAACTTCTACCCTTTCATCCTTCTATTATTTGTGGGTTTATGAATTTGGATTTGAGGGGTGGGATGCAAAGGAGAAAAGGGGGGATATCATACCACTGGCAACACCTCCGCTGGCCCCATCTCGGAATGTTGCATGATAAATAGCCCGTTTTCCCAACTCTGCTGCTTCTTCAACAGACAAATCATACCGATACCTACACAAGTTTTTATTATCATTAAAATTGTAGCACTTAAGAACATAAGTTGGATGATATCAATGTCTACTTTCAAATGATGTCAGAATTCAGTATGATACAGATGGGATGGGGATAAGTACCCTGAAGCAAAGACAATTGGTGTACAGGGAGGTCTTTGCCTCATGAGAAGAAATCAAAGTTTCCAGTGTAAATCTAACTTCCCCGAGGGTTCTTATATGAAACCACAACTCCACAAGTTAATGCCACTTTTTACTACACAAGCTCACACACCATGGCTAAAAACAAAAAAGGTATTACAACATGAAGGTGAAGCCTGTAAGACACCATGAAGCATCCATCAAGGTAAAATGAGGATCCTATAGAGGGAAATGAGAATCTTAAAAGAAAAATGACCAGAATGAAAAACGTGAACATGTTCCAAGTTGAAAAAGAAATGAGCATCTGTAAAAGGAAAATGAGCAACCATTATGAAAATAATAAAAATGTCACTGGGAGTACCAAAGCTGGATGTACAGTATAGATTGCAGAAAATGGATTACCCACATTCGAATTGATTCTCTATTTCATGCCTTTTACGCTCATTCCATTCAGATGCATCCATTCATAATTCATGTATGCAAATTTCAAAAGCAATCAAAACTATTATCGATCCATTGCCTACCAAAAAACATGATCGGTTATACATGAGTTTATGTACCAATTTATAAATTGAACCTAATATGTGCCTAAAATGTTTTGCAACGGAACCTTTTATTTCATCAGGAAACTTTTCAACAATTCATGTGTGCAGTAGCTACATGCCTGTATAAGCTATTTCAAAGCTCGGTCTAAAAACAGAAGAAAATGAGTGAAGAAAAATACAGCAACAACATTCAAGCCTTAGTCTCCCAAAAGAGTTTGGGGTCCGCTAACATGAATAGACATATGAAATTTGAGCTAAAAAAGAGCTAAAAAGATAGAAAGGATAAAAAGATAAGATTAAATAAATAAAATAAAGTTAAAAGGTTTAAAATAGATATCATAAGTAGTGAAAATTACTATAGGGAAATTTCTAGTATAATTTACCGTACTACTGTATTAGCAGTAGAGTTCCAGGAATATCATTTGAGATGTACATTACTTGCATAAAAACGATGCAGCTGAATAAGAAAGGCAATAATTCCACAAGGGGCAATAAAACATACCCATTATCCAGAACTCCATAAGCATATGGAGAACCAGATCCCACAGAGAACCTGTTTCCCTTTAGCCGTCCACCTTCACTATCCACATAATATAGTCCTGGACCCTACATCCATTAATCCATGATACAATACATTTTAGAATAGTTGAGCTACCGCATGGTATTCAGCACATAAATATTTGTATTTATAATCATTTATAATACCTTTTCATCCCAACCAGCGATCATAGTTCCAACTGATAAGCCCATTCCACGGTAAGAATATAAAATGTTAGCCAACAACTTTGAAGCTCCAGCAATTGAAATTCTTCTTTTATTTGCCAGCTCGTGGAGACGACACTAGACCAAGTGGGAAAACAATAAGTTGCAATTTGTAACATATAAAACCAAACTTCCAGAATCTAAAATTTTTATTTGCAGGAAATGTTTCACCCCCATCATATATATTCTTGTTTACAGTACACAGTTTACCATACAAAAGAATCTGAGACCAAGAGCGTATGAACAGCACTTTAAGCTCAACTACTAAAGTGTGGTCATGTTCCAAAATAGATGTTATCAAACAGCAGGCATGGTGGCACCATAGCGGAAGGCAGTAGCGGAGTTTCGGGGGAGAGCCATAATATGCCATTTTCTAGTTTCCATAATAGTAGCAGAGTTTCAGGGGAGAGCCATAATATGCCATTGGCCTGAGGTGGAAAATGGTTTTTGGTACATTTCACCCTGCCCATTATAGAACTTTAAAACATGTGGTTAGTGCCACCAAGCTAATGCCCAGAGGGCAAGCCTTCTCCTTGATTCTTACAAGGACTCCATCCCCCAATTCTATTAGCTTCTTCTCTGCTTAGAGCATCACACGAGCCGAGCCTCCTTCATTTGAATCTTCTTTTTCGTGTTCAAGCCCAATGATTTACTGTGTTCAAGTTCAAGGAGTCTGCGGCATTGTGTCGGGCAACTATTCTCAGTAAGCTCCTCATTCATCAAATATTTTACTCCCTCTGTCCCTAAAAGAAGTTCCATTTCGCTTATCGAGGGTCAAGTTAAATCACTCTTAAACTCTTACTTTTTATATCAAAATTTTATAAAAGTTGAATTATTTTTTGCAGGTTTTGTAGCGGGTTTAATGTAGTTTCTGAATATGTAAATTTTATTTACTAAAAATAATCCGAGTTTTCACAGGGATCATTTAACTTTATCGTCGATCAACCTTCGTAATCCGCAATTGGAACAACATTTAGGGATGGAGGGAGTACTATTTTTCTAGTACCTGACTATGTGAGACTACATTTATTGCTTATATGAAAGTTTCCGGTTATTTCTAAAATTATTGCTTTGCTTCTGCAAATGTTTTATTTACACTGTTATTCTTAATACACATCAGGTTTTCAGTCATGTTTTATCAAGCTTTTGGTTATGTTTTAAAATTCTGTCTTCTGAAATTCAATATTGGCTAATGACTGTTTGTCTGGCATACTAGACTACTACTAGGAGTACTAGCAGCCTCACACCTACAGAAGGCCAAACAGTAAAAATGATAGAGAATCCCTAAATAGGAGTAAAAACGTTTTGAAATTCTAAAATAGGACTATCATGTTTTTTGTTCCCTGAATAGGTGTAAATTCCTGCCAAGTTTGCCATTACTAGGCTTTAAACATGGCATTTTTTTCCAAACTTGGCAAAATTACTCCTATTTAGGGAATAAAAACATGAAAGTCCTATTCTGGAATTTCAAAACGTTTTTACTCCTATTTAGGGCAATTTCTCTAAAAATGAACCACTGAAGTTGGGAAAAGCATATGATGCATTTGATAAAGCAAGGAATTATGATGCATATGATGCCTCCTTTTCTATAGCAAGGAATTAATGAATTAGAAATTTGAAAAGCATCATAGTCATACAGATACACTCTATTCAAGATTGATCAATTTTCTGGTTGATTTGAAAATTTGATTCAACCACTTCAATAGTTCAACATTGTTCAAATTGGTTTATCAGCTACAAGGTTAACAGAGTCCAATTCTAATTTTCTAGAAAGGAATGAATACAGATTAGGAGCAGGCATTCATATAATAATGAAATACCTTGACTGCAAGATTCCTGTGCCAGAACTGGCAATCAGCAGCACCTCCTGCCATTGTGCCAAGCATATATGGATTTATTTCAATGATCTTTTTCACAGACTGTGATGCTGCAAAGAAGAACGTTGAAATAGAGTGCTCATCTTTCACAGTAACCAGAAAATGACTATAGGACCCAAAAGTTAATTAATATACTGAACATGATACTACTACACAAAACAGTACAAAATACTTCGCTAATATTATATACTTCCTATGTTCTTTTTTAGTTGCAACGTTCCCATTTTCACGCTTACCAATGCACACAACTTTGACTGCCATTATATTTAATTTTCTATTAGTAATAAACAAAGAAAACAAAAAACAGATGATGAAAATTTGTATGAGACGAATTCAACAATATTTAAAAAAAAACTCTAATAAACTAATAAATAAAATGTGGTCAAATTAAAGTATGTGAATAGTGTAAAGTTTTCTGTGTTGCAACTACAAAACAGAGGATAGAATATATTAGAAACTACTCGCTCCATTTCATATTAGAGTTATTACTTTCCCTTTTTGAGTTGCAGCAAATTCGTATTCCCATCTCCTATTTGGGAAAGGGCCAACCACTTAAAATTTTGTATCTTGCCATTTCATTTCCACTGTATTCTTCCCTAAAGTTTCTCTCTTCATAAAAAACTATAAAAAGATACGCACTACCAATACTCTAAAACCATGTGCCAAATGAAGTGGGGATAGTAGAACACTAATATGGAACTGAGGGAGTATGAAAAAGAAAGAGCATATATATAATTTTATATGTAAAGATCTGTTGCTCAAAACCAATACAGTTCATTCTCAACCGTTATTATATTCAAAGTAAACCAGAAAAGGGAAATTAGTAAGATCGAAGAGGACTGGTGACTATAAGATCTTATTGTTACTATAATATAACTGAACTGATACTACTATTAAAAACAATTCAAATACTTCGATGGTGTTATATCATATTACAAAACTATATATAAATAGTACTCTAACAAATGATTTTTATATAAAATATATAGACTATATAGATATGTATGTCTTTATGTTCAGATCGATTGCTCAAAACCAAGTAGCTCATTCTCAACCATAAGTTAGTTTACACCCAGTGTTACAAACTCAATTGGTTATTGTGGAATATCTTTATACATAGTATAGGTGAAACATAGACAAACAAATTTCCAAGAATATTCAGCTTTTCAACATTTCCTTGTATGATGATAGAATGATACGTAGTAATAAACTAAGAACAAGGACTCACATATGTATCCTCCCATACTAGCACGAGAATCAGCTGCCACAATCACTCCATCCTTAAATATGAAGGCTAAGGTGGTGGTTCCCTTAGCAGGCTTCACCATTTGGATTGCTTCCTTCTGAAACCCATCGAACTAAAACAACACCAGAAGAAACGTTAATCAGACTAATAACTATAGTTACACCATACCAGAAAGCTGGAAACTTCCCAACTTAAATCAATTCCAGTTAAACATATGCAAATGGAATAATCATAATACAATTAAGTCCAACTGACATCAGTAGCATTTGGAATCTGGAAAGATGGGGCTCTCAGAATTCCATCAAACAACTCAGAGTTCTCCACACGAAAAGGTGCAGTTGATTCGATCCCTCTAAAACCAATCCTCATCATCCTTGCAATCTTTTTACAAAAAGCAATTGAAATGCTCAAAATAATTCACCCAAGAGAAATCTTCATATAAAGCTAAACACTGGACATTGGAAAGGGATTAACTGGAATGCAGATTAAAAAGAAGATGACCACAGAAAATGAGAGCTAGTCTGGGAATGTATGGTGTCTTTGAACACAAGATTTCTTGCGCTGCACACAGGCGCGTAATTTTTGACCCGATTGTTTGGGGTAATTTTTGAGTGGCGACCCTTCAAATGGAGGCCCGAGTAAGCCTTCTACAGTTCTAAACGTGCAACCAAAATATACCCACTAATAAGCCCAACTAAGCCATATTGGATCTCAACTTTCGTGGCCTGGTCTTTTATATATAGAAAAAGTGCTAAATAAGTGTACTACTACTATTTAATTTGTTTACGTGAGAGTTCTCTCTGAGGCTTCGACTGTGTCGGTCGCTGGAGCCTTTTTTCGATTTCGACTTTGTTGAAGATCGGCTTTGCTATCCCTTGGTCGTTAGTGCTCGGCTGGAGTCCAGGTCAGACGCGGAGGGCGGAGATCGGTGGAGGAGGGCGGATTTGATGTCGTGGCTCGAGGAGATCGGCGCTGTGGCCAAGGTTCGAGGATGCGGCGTTGCTGTCGTCGTTGGAGAAGATCGCCGCAGCCTATCCGTTTACTCTGGTCGCACGAAGCAGGGATGAGTTTGGTTATGCAGGGATAGAGGATTGATGCATGGTCTTTGGCAGCCAAATGTCATGGAGGATCAATTAGCATGATACCGGTGGTGCGACCTCCTCCTGAACCACCACCATGGGATGTATGAGGTGCTAGAGTTCGTGAAAGTTTTTCTTGTAGTTTTTATCTGTTTGTTATTTGTTTTCTTGTGTCCTTTTATGTTGTTGGTTTTGACATTTTGTTTGAGTTTTTTGCCTTTCTTTATGTCATTGGGTATGGCTGGATCTATGGGATCAAGTTTGACTGTGTCAAGCCCACTACATGGTTAGCGATTCATGTTGCTCTCTCAGGGGTGACCGTCTCAAAGTCTCACCATAGGGTTACAGTCGTAGTTGTTGGAGCTTCAATTGGTGTCAGTTTTATTTTCCCTTTGCTTGATGTAATGATCCTGAATCTTTTGATATGAATAAAGGCATGTTTTGATGATAAAAAAAGTGTACTACTACTATTTTATTATTATTATTATTATTATTATTATTATTATTATTATTATTATTATTATTATTATTATTATTATTATTATTATTATTATTATTATTATTATTATTATTATTATTATTATTATTATAAAAGAGCGGCTTTAAACAGAGTATTAAAAACAAGAACACATACAAGACAACTTTCAGACAAAATTTACAGATCAAATCGTGAACACTAGGATTATATATAGAGTCAGTCACCTCATACAAAGCAATCTTACTCGCTAAACCTGAAAAGGGCAAATTTAAGATTAAAACGAACGGATCTGAAACTTTGCGTATCAAAAGAACTCAAAAATCCAAACATTCAAACCAAATTTACTCGGACTAAAACAGAAACAAGTACTATTTAAGAGAAAATAATATTGAAATAAAATCTTTCCACAAAACTCTTCCTTGTATGGAGGTAGTTCTGGAGGAGGGCGAGCTCTTGCAATATGGGTGAATACCAACTCCACCACCGTTGGAGCGGCTGATCAAGGCTTCACGATCTAACACCAAAACAAACTCACAGATGCAAGCCCGCAACTCGTTCATCCGCCAACGCTATCTTCTCCGACGTAGCTGCAATCTCTAACGTTAGAACACTTAAAATCAGTATAATATGCCGCTCCAGCCCCATATTGATAAGGGCGGCGGAAAATCTCAACCACTACAAAGAGGGGAGGCTACAAAGAGGGGAGACGACCGCTAGGGTTAGAGAGAGAGACTCGCCTATATGTATTCATTAATAGGTCCCGTACTATTATAAAAACGTAAATGAAGATGCCTAAGTTAATTATCACTCAATTAAACTCACAACACACATAAATTAATCAAATAGATTTTTTGGCTGGTTGTGTGGCACATGAAATGGCTTTTGAGTTTTCTCCTTTCTCTCCGTGATAAAAAAGTGTACCTTTTTTTATAGAGGAAATGACTTTTATTAAAATCATAGAATCCAACAAAACAACAACAAGATCAGACACAGTAGACAAACAAGAAAGATCAGAAAACATTATTCGATCATACGACTTAGGACTAGACTCGGAAACTATCACTCATTCAAGAGCAATAGGATTTGTTAATCCCCATTTGGGCAATGCTAAGCCAATCATGATTGGTGATGTATTCTCGTCACTTATCATATATTGTACTTGCCACGATTCAAAAGTAAAAAACATTATTGTAGACCAAACATTAAAGACATCAATGAAAAACAACGCAATGTAACCAAACATAACGCGAAAATAAGACCATAAAACCCGGTAAATACTCCAATCTTTTTCCTACTAGTTTTCTTGATCACTTCACGGTGGCGGTCAGTGACGGACCTAGTATTTACATTTTGGGTGTTCAAAAATACACATTTTCTCTTTAAAATACCATTAAACAAATTACTACTCTAATTCAGATATACATATTCCTATTGTTTTTTTTTGGTGTTCATATGAACACCCTTGTATAAAGCACATCCGCCACTGGTGGCGGTTTAGGAGGGGGGGGGGGGGGGGCTCTCCCTTTGCTAGCTCGTCATCTACTTTCACCTTGAGGTCTTCGTTCTCCTCCTCTAGGACCATTCCTTGAAAGACATGTACCAAAACCTCCATTGTTGTCATGAGTGACTGTTGGGTTCGTTCCTGAACTCGAAGCAAACTCTCGTTCATGTTCTTGTTGAAATCCCACAAAACTAAAAAAACAAAACCAGGTTGCACGAAGAAATCAGCGGACACCCTGACTCAGGAATTCTACATGAGAGTAGAGAGACAGTTGGTAGGGTCTCTTTGTAGAGCAATTAGTTAATTGTGGTAATGGTATTCTTCCTTCTTTGCTTTAACAATTCTTGGAAATGTGTTTGTGGGGGATGAATTTGCTATAAGCAGGGGAATTGTTGCCTAGGGCCGGCCTAAGAATTGCTGCTAGCTCGGGGGCTTGCCAGTCTAAAGGTATCTTTGCTCGACCTGCACAACCGCCTAAGAGTATCTTCGCCTGACCTGCATAGCCGACTAAGGTGTTCGACCGACTTGAGGCTGCAACTCTGGAAGAGGTCCTTATGCAAGCCTAAGCAGGATCATTTATCAGAAGGTGCAAAAGTGTTTAGTACACAAATCCACTTATGTGAGGCCCCAAAAAATTATTACGTAGTATGTACTCTATGTGCAGTGGTAGTAGCTATGTAGCACCGATACGGGTATGCGGAAATGCGGATACGTGGAAACAAGTATGCGAATACGACAAAAGAAAGTAGGATACAGGGGTATATTTATAAATACTTCCCCTGTCCCATTTTATAAGATATCTTTACTATTCACTTGGTCAACACAAATCACTCTTAATCTCTTACTTTATATATCAAAATTTTATGAAATTTGAATTACTTTTTGCAGGTTTTGTAGCGGGTTTAATGTAGTTTCTGAATATGTCATTTTTTTTCTAAAAATAATTTGAGTGCAGACAGGGATCCGTTTGCTTTATCGTCGGTCAAACATCGTAAACCGAAAAGTATCTTATAATTCGGGACAGGGTGAGTATTCAAAGTTATGTGGGTGTATATATAAATATTAAAAATTACGGGGTGTATATATAAATATTAAAAAAATACAAGTATTTTTTTAAATGTTGAGTTTTATTCCTTCAACTCCAAAAGCCCAACACCTTCCCTAGGATTTCGAGTGGAATATTTAGTGGTAAGTCGAATATGTCGTGCAAGCAAGTAAGGAAAAACAAGTAAGAAGAGTAGTAAGTGAGTCGTGTCTTATCCAATCAATCGATGATAAGAGTCTATCACAACACACTTCATTAGAATTCCATGCCTGCCAGGCCGTTCGTCTATCTGAGCTAGAAAGAGGGGGAATAATTGTTATTGTTAGAGAGTATAAGTTGTCAACCATTTACAATGAAATAAATGCTACTATTTATACTATCAAGGGGTAGATGATGTTGATGACGTGGATGATTGTGGGTGGCTAGCTTCCCAACCACAAAATCTACTGAATTAAACGTGCTTCCCGCCAATATCTTGATTTCCCGCCAATGGGTCCGGACGAGCGTCCGCCGGATCTTGGGGCTCTGGATCCGAATGATCACAAGGACGAGGATCCGCTCGTCCTACGTCGATTGCTCTCCAAAGGTCCCTGGATCCTTGTCTAGTTCTTTTTGGCCAAGGTCAGCGAGGCCGAGCGTCTTCTTTAGCAGGCCGAACGTCCTCCCGATTTGCCCGCTGAGTCCTGCCCCAATTGGGCCTCAATGGTTGTCTTGCAAAGGGTTATTGGACCGTTCCTATATCGGGCCAATTAACCCACCAAAAAATATATACATATATTATCTTCTGTCCATCCATGACATTGAATCACTTCACATTAATTATCAAGATTGTTAGAAATAATTCATACTTTATCTCATATACACTAGTGAATGTTGAAATACAAATATAGTCAATTACTCATTAATTTAAAATGAGAAACGAGTCTATTATGGGTGAGACATAGCCCCCCAAAATTGTTGTCTTTTGTTGCTGCATTTGTTTTTTGTGGAGGAATGCCTTCACAGAGAGATATTGGTTTAGTCTCCCTCTCGTTTTGTACTCATTTTCGTTCTTAATAAAATCATGGTAAATGTCTCCCGGCATTTACCCCACTGATTTTGGTGGTTTTGCCTTCCAGGGTATAAATAAAAAAATTAAAATGAGAAACGAGTCAAGCTATCACAGTTTTGAAATTAAAAGTGCAAGTACTCAAAGTTTTTGGATAATGGAGATAGAAATCAAAACTCTAATAAAAAAAATTAAAAGTTCTAATGCATATTTCCACTGGAGCTACTAATTTATAGTGATAACATCGTCTTCCAAAAAGACAACGCCCAATTATGGTTTATCTATGGAAAGGTTGGCGAAACTCAAGTACTCCTATATCCTCCATGCTTCCAAAGTCATTTACACCAACATCTCACATTTTACTTGTCGTCCATATACTTAGTTGTGTGCGAGCTAGCTCGATTGAAGCAAGTTAAAATTTATTTTTAGTTTTTCATTTTAAAGAATTTTATTATGTTTTTTGGGTGTTTAAAAAAAGTTGATATGTTTTTCCGTGAGGATACATGTATCCAAAATTTTAAATTAATTACAAAAATGTTGGAAATTTTAATAAATTACAAATATGGTCCGAGAACGTATGATACGGGTATCCTAGAGTATTTGATAAGGAAATGTTTCTGATATGTTGTTACGGTACCCTAGTTAAGTATTTGTGCTACATAGAGTAGTAGCTATAGATTTAATTTTTCTAGATATTATGTATTACTCTAGAACATGTACAACTTTTTAGTTTTTATAAATAGGGAAATAAAATATTTTTATAAAAAATTGATTAATAATTTTGTCTAGTTTGTGTTCTTTAAAAATTATAAAATTTATATTTCACTAAACTATCTAATAGATTTGTATTGCACTACTATACTCCGCATAAAACTATTATTTACGGGGTGTCAATTTATCTGTTAGAGTCTCACACCGGAAAAGTTTGAATCAACAAAATTCTATGTTAAGACATGGCTACTCCTCCTATCAGGGTTGACCTTTTAAGATGGAACCACATATCTTAATATGGTATCGGGGCCAAACTGATCCATAACAACGGTGTGGGGCCCCTTATGAAAAATGAAGACACGATTATAAAAAAATAACAATGACGAATCGACGAAAAAATGCATGCCGACACAATCCAGACGAAGTGTCTGGTCGTGAGGAGGGGTGTCAGAGTCCCACACCGGAAAAGTTTGAATTCACAAAGTTCTATATTAAGACATGGGCTACTCCTTCTATCAGGGTTGACATTTTAGGATGGAACCACAGGTCTTAACATTGTCATTTAAAATAATGTCTCTAAAATCTATTAGACGACCCTCGACCTAAGCATCATTGTCAACTTGCATCCGTGGCCGGGAGGTCTCATGGCCTGGAGCCTCGTCTCTGACTTGGTTGCTGATCGAGAAGCTTCATCGCCAATTTATTTGTCGCTTGTGTTTGACATGTGAGCATCGGGCCTGACAATCTATCATCCGACCAAGGTGATGCCAAGTCGTCGACTCGCTAAAAGGGGAGGCTGACATGTAAGAAGGAGACGTCCACTGATTTTGCTTATTTATTAAAAAGTTACTATCATCGTTCCGTTAGAAGGGTTCACATAGCAAAACGGCACGGTTATTTAGATAATAATTAAATAAAATACTTTGAGCATATTTTGAGAAGTAATTTTAATAGGTACACTACAAACAAAATGTCATATACCAACAGTAAGAAAACTGTTGGTATAGAAATATAAACCGTTGGTATAGACCTCGTTTAGCTATACCAACGGAAATGTATGCAATTCCAACAAAAAATGGAGTGTTGGTATACATTCCGTAGGTATAGACCAACACCAACACATTTCTTACCCGTTGGAATAGCTTATTAACTTATACCAACGGAACACTTACTGTTAGTAATTATATTACCGTTGGTATAGACGTAGAACAATTTTACTTATGTTTTAGCTATAGTAACAATTGATATACCGTTGGTATAGCTCTGTTTTATGCAGAAACAAATATTTATTAGTTCACGTACATGATCACTCACAATCCAAAATAGAATTACAAATAACAATAACAAATACAAATATCAATAGAATTACAAATAACAATAACTAATACAAATATCATTCCAAAATCATTCAACTTTACTAATAAACGTCTTTATAAAGTGAATATTATTCATAATAAAAATCCAAATCAAGTTATAATTCTGAATTTTGGGACAAAACATAAATGGAATTCAAATCCTTCTGTAACACAAGTCAATCCTTTTAATTCACGTATCCATGTTGATTGCCTCCATCCGCATATCAAATCTTGAGAACCTACAAAGTGCACACCACTTCAATCAGCTATACAACTAGAAAATTTTAAGTTAATAACATGTTAAAATTTTATTCAAACAGTCTTACACATCAAAAATTGGTGGACTCTCAAACAAAATAAATCCATATGGGCTACCTTCATGCAAGCCAGATATTCAATCACGGATAACATGCATTACATAGCCAAACACTCACCAATTTGGAAGTAACTATGCAGAACAAACATCAAAGCCAAACAGCTCATAGACTACCAGGATGGTCACTTACTTTAGTAACCAGACTCTCATGATCAGTTTACCCTAAACTGTGCCTACAACATAGTGAGTACAACCCACCCCTCCACTTTTAGTCAAAGGCAGATTTGGAACCCAAAACAAAACCTAAACATCAAATTTTTTTGTGGAAGTACAACATAAAGTCACTACCCGTAATGTTCTTCAACATCTTGAAGGAGCAAATGAATATCTATACATTTATTAGATTGTTGTCTTACTCAAATTCAGGCTCTAAACTTCTAAGATGAAGTTTAAAATGCAACATAAAATTACGAAATTGATGAAATTCTTAAAACAATACATTACCAGATTATATTTCACTTTCACCCATTTGATGGCTTGACTCGGAAGACTGGTTATTTTCATCCGGTGAGACATGTGGGGTACTATTGACATCAGGTACCTACAAAAAATTATATTAAGAAAAATAAAGTTGTTACATATGCTAACATCATAGTCACTCTCATATACTATAAGAATGAGAAGAACATAATGCAAAATGTAAAAAATCCATAAATGAGATTGTCAGATACTATTACATTTACAACACATGAAAAATTGATCTTAAATAGGATCCAGACATGAACATGTATATCAATACCTGTCCAATAATTATGTTACTCAATTCATCTTCAGGAAATATTCTTTTCATTACAGACAACATGTGATTTAGTGTTGTTTTCAGTCCACAAATCTCAGCCTTCATCATTTCTACCTCATCATTTTTTTGTTGTCGTTGTGTACATGAAGAACCGCAACTATTGGATCTTTTTATTTTTGTTCCCGTGCAACGAACATAGCCTCTTTTCTCGGGTCCCTTAACTTGTGCATAAACATCGCTCTCCCATGACGTACCATCACTTTCTAGAGTTGTTTCACTCATTTTTTGTTTCATTTGTTCCTAAAAGAAGTTAATAGACAGTTTGAGCATTTAAAAAAAAGATAAATAGATGATTTGAAAAGAAGAAACTCTTAGTTTTTATACCACAACTTCAGCAGCTTCATCATTCACAATGCTCCCATTTTTTCGTGTTCGAGTACGAACATAAACCTTAGCACGTGATGGATGAATACCATTGCTTTCTTCTGTCTACAAAACAATTCATTTAATATCAATCTAAAATTTAATTAATGCATAAGAAATAGATCAATTATGAAAGTTTGATAAATGTACCATCTCATGAATAACTCTCGGAAAAGACTTTGTTCCTGTGCAATGAGGCTCTTTTGATTTAGAACAATTTTCCTTATTTTTGGTGCTTTGTTCCTAAAATATCAATGTAGTTAAGACAAGATGATATATGTCAAACACATACCCAATTCACCGTGGCAATAAAATTTCAGTTATTTATGGGTACGTGATAAAAATACACTAACTGTAAAAGAAGAAGATGAAAGAGGAAATTGAACTTCAATTGAATATTCAATATATTAAATGATAACAAAATTTTCCGATGTTAGAAATTCTGAATAAATAACAACAAGAAAGAGCATGAATTAATTAACATATACAATGGGACAATGTAAAAACATTCTAGCTAGTAACTGGTCCGTTTGAACTTTAACTACTGTCACGGTAGACTACACCAATGGACATTATAAAGAGTATACTTGACACTTAACCAAATTATAATCAGCTCCGGTAAAAAGATGACAAAGATAGGGCTAAGTGCACATTCAAGCTTCAGGTCAATACTAGCATCACATTGTTATGGACTCTAGCATTTATCTACATCATAAGCAAAATTTTAATAACAGCCACATATATTTGACAAAAGTAACATCATCTACAAAAGAGATTCAATGGCTAAATTATGACACCTGAATGCATAATTTCACTATATAGCTGTTAGAATTCTTGGCATGCAGTTATTAAGATTTGATATTTATCAACATCTGAAATTGCTGAATTTTGTATGATTTTAAATAAAAGGTGAGCAGAAGGTACAGACAGTATCACCAACAAATGCAAATGGTAGTGTCATGCATATGGTAATATCACCAACCTGAATTTAAATGCATGGAAAAAGATGAAAGCTTTTACTGCAGAAAATGATTTACCTTTGCTTCATCAGTAAGCCAATATTTTGCAATGCTAATGAACTGATCTTTATCCACTCGACTGTCATCAACCTTTGAAGACATTTCATGTGGTGTCATCGTTTCATCGAAGTACTCGCTTTTCAATTCATTTTTCCATGACCTCCACTTAGTACTCATGTTCTCAAGTGCCCACACATTTATACATTTAAAAGCCTCTCCATCTATAACCTCTTTTCCATCCAATGTTTTGAACTGAAACTTCTCCTAGAGTTGAAAAGCACGGGAATTACAATCAGTATATAATTATGCTTCCAAAGAAAAACCATTATTAATGTAAGTACCTTAATCATCTCCCACATTTCATTCTTCTTTCTAGCTGGAAGTTGAGGCCAAGTCGTGTAACTCAATGGGGCAAAATCGGACATTCTAACCATGGTACCAATGAACCTAGTTAGCTTTGCAGCTGAATCACCTATTGGAATATGGTGAGCATTCACTTCAACTATCACTTGTTCCTCTTTTTCCAAGTCCCATATCTCAATCATACGCGTGTAACCTCGAAGCTTTTTAGGCTTTGGTGGAACTAAAAAAAAATAAGTGCATTGAGAGGATATATTATATTATGAATAAAAATCCATGTATGTTGTGGTTTCTATATTTTAAAACCCCAAAAAAAGGAAACAATTTTTTTCATTTTTTGGGATCCGAAAATCATTTGACTTTTAGAAAAATTACAGCACATTTGACAGAAAGCCTGTACAAACACATTCCATAACAAAGAGTTGTGTCCCATTACTCTCTCACCTAGCACAATCTTAACATTGGGTGAGCACAAATACTAAATCAAAGTTCATTGGTGTTGCAGATTTAGTAAAATACTTATCTATATATGATCAGAACAAATTTGACTAACATATGTCATTTTAATTATAGACTTAGTAAAATACTTACTGACTAGATGCTCAAATGTTACCCAAATAAGTTATGAAACATACCCGTGACTTGATCTACTTCTTCATTCACATGTTGGACATTATTTTGAGGCAAAGCAGATTGTTCCTTATTTTGACAGCTCTTTGAAGACTCCAAATGTGTTTGAGAACTTGAGGCACGCACTGTCTTATTGGTTTTTAGTCGCTTATGTGCCATTTCCAACCCTATCAAATGAATGTAACAAACATATAAATCAGTATGAAGTTGTAACATAATATATGTAAATAAGGTTTTAAGTACATGAATTTACCTTATTAAAAGATGCAGAACTAGGAAAAAAAAAGAGGTACCAAAAGTTTATTTATAGCAAACTTCACTTAACTATAATATAATATTATTACTATATACAAATATAATATATTTATATGTCAAAACATATCATCAATATATTCATCCACGGGGTCTTCTTCCTCAAACTCATTTTCCATCTCTGGTGTAACTTCAAGCCCCTCATTGCACTCATCTCTAACCCAAATCATGTCATCACCCTCAATGTTTGGATTTGGAGAGTTGTTCCTTACATCGCCCATATCAAAAGTGTCTCGAAGCTTTGCATGTTTTGCAAGAAGCCATCTGTCATCTCTATCATCCTCCACATAGTAAACCTTGTTTACTTGTGTAGCAAATACAAAAGGATCATCAACTAAATTTGTTCCAGTATGTGTAAGGTATGAAAAATTGACAAGTGTGAACCCAAACTTGTCTCTTTTGCATCCTTTGTTTAGATCAACCCAATCACATCTAAACAACACAAACTTAAATTTTCCAGAATAGTTTAACTGAATGATGTCAGTTAAAGCCCCATAATAGTTAACTTCTCCTTCAATCGGTTTTGCATCTTTTGAGCTTGCATAACTTGTCATTCTCGATGTTACTACAACCCCACTGTTTTGCGTTCTTAACAGTTTTTCACGGGCTTTAGTGTGGAACCGAAATCCATTAACAATATAGCCCGTAAATCTCCTGGCTTTATCCAAGGGACCACGTGCAAGAAATCTAAGCTCATCTGTGATGAGTGTGTTTCCTTGATTGTCTAAATTTGCAACCTACAAAGCATTACCAAAAGTTAAATACTTAAAAAGTTTCTAACAAAACGAAATACTTTTTTTTAAATTTGGGGGACTTAATTATTCATACATGGTCATGAAACCAATTATGAAAAGTTTCACTATGTAGCTTTTGCAACTCATAAGCCGACAGACGGGGGGAACGGTGTCGTCTCCGAAGATGCTCCACATGTTTTCTACAATAAAATGTCCCCATACTTAGAAATAAAGAATAAATTGTTTATATTTTATTCAAGGATTCAAGTTCATACATTAAAAATGGAGCAACTGCATCGTGATTAAAAAGCACATATCTATGTGCTTGTGTCAAAGACAACTTGTCAAGTTCAACACGGGATACTCTCTTTCGCTTGCTAACATTGAACCCTTTATGTTTTGTCCTCCCGAGTGGTCTTCCAACATGACTAAAAGTAGATACATCTCCATCAAATGATATTTCACCTTCTTCATTCCGCCGAGATTGATTGAAACTTGTTTCAACCCCCTCCAAGTATCTTGAACAAAAAGTTAAACAGTCATTTGCCAAAAATCCTTCTGCAATAGAACCCTCTGGATGAGCTCTATTACCCACATAAGACTTTAGGGTAAGAAGAAACCTATTAACAACATTAAAATTAACCATATTAACAACTATATGATATGTAATTATAAAATTAGAAGATTAATGAGGAACCGGATATCACCTTTCGATGGGATACATCCAACGATATATTACTGGGCCAACAACTTTTGCTTCGTGCACTAAATGCATCACTAGATGTACCATCACAGTGAAAAAGGATGGAGGAAAGATCTTTTACATTTCACAAAGGATTAAAGAAACCCGAGACTCCATTGCTTGAAGAGTATCCTGCTCTAAAACTTTGGAACAAATGAAGTGGAAAAAGTTACACAGGTCAATTAGGACAGAGCACACCTTTTCTGGTAAGCACCACCGTATTGCTACAGGAAGAAACTCTTGCATTAAAAGATGACAATCATAACTTTTAAGACCAATTAACTTTCGTTCCTTAACTTGAACACAACGGGATATGTTACAAGAGTATTCATCCGGAGTCCTCATTTCCTTAAGAATCTTCAAGAAAGCATTTTTTTCGGTTATAGTCATTTGATAAGCTGCTTGAGGTAAGTACTTAGTGTTGCTTCCGGGGCGAGTCTTTGGGTGAAGAATACTCCTTATGCCCATGTCCACTAGATCAAGGCGGGCCTTATAATTGTCTTTTGTCTTTCTCTCTTGCCCTATCAATGTACCAAAAATGTTATCACAAACATTTTTTTCAATGTGCATTACATCCAGATTATGACGTATTAAAAGATCCTTCCAGTACGGTAGTGTGAATAAAATGCTCTTTTTCTTCCATGGTCCACCTTCATTAGAATCCAAGTCTTCTAATTGTCTCAACAATTCATCCCCCGATGGTGGCAAAGGGGCAGTTCTAAACTCATAATTCCCATCAAAAGAGTGTTTATCCTTCCTAAACCGATGGTTACTCTCCAACCACCTACGGTGTCCCATGTAGCAAAACTTTCCACCATTTTTTAACCACTTGGATTCAGTATCATATCCACAACAAGGACATGCATACTTTCCCTTTGTGCTCCATCCAGATAAATTAGCATACGCTGGAAAATCATTAATAGTCCAAAGCAAAGCTGCATGCATGTTAAATTTCTGCTTCATTGACACATCATATGTCTCAACACCAACTTCCCAAAGCTCTTTTAGTTCATCAATCAAAGGTTGCATGAACACATCCAAATCATTCCCAGGACTTTTTGGACCAGGAATAAGTAAAAATCATATGAGACTAGTAATGTGAATAGGATTATAGGAGTGTGTAACTAATACCTATTAACTACATCTCACAGTTCAATTTAAATTCCATGCAATAACTACATCTCACAGCAACTAAACCTCACAAAAGCTTCACTATATTTTTGTATAGTCAGAACTCAATATGTCACGCCCCGGACCTACCGGACACGTCAACAACCCGCCGTACAGTACGAATAGTCAACCGCAGTCCAACTCATACATACTATACTAGGCGTCTTGAATACCATTCACACATAGTACATCCATAAACAAACATAATGTAAAATATTCATTTAAAGCAGCGGAAACATTAATACACGTATTCAAGCCACACGTGGCAAACATGGGCATACAAGCCCCCAAATAGTATTCAAAATAATTTCCATGAGCATTATTGTAATTGTTTAAAACAGAAACGGAAGAAGCACGAACCACGTCCTCCTCCTTTGATCTTCCCGAAGCAACGGGCGTGGTAGCAACCTTCAAGTCCTACCTGAAACTGTGAGGTGGCCTCCCCCGTGAAGGGGAGGTCAGTACTTGGAAGCATTTGACAAGTACAATGACAACTATACTAAGTATAATCAACGTTTCAATTTCCAAGACCCTCAAATAGGGTGATATTACAATATAGGTCATAACTCGTGGTTACCCTCTTTACAAATATACTTACTTTATATATAAAGTCAAGTAGTCGGCCGAAGGCTCATGTTTACTTTGAAAACATTTAACCCCTCCCCCGTGACTTCAAGCCACACCCATCTATATCAGTTTACCATGCTAGAGGCTTCCTCTAGTCATGTTTTGTCGTGCTAGAGGCTGACTCTAGTCACTACATTCGGTGTTAGAGGCTTCCTCTAATCACCTTTCATACTTTGTGCTGGAGGCTTCCTCCAGTCACATTACATTATGCTAGAGGCTTCCTCTAGTCATGTTTTGTCGTGCTAGAGGCTGACTCTAGTCACTACATTCGGTGTTAGAGGCTTCCTCTAATCACCTTTCATACTTTGTGCTGGAGGCTTCCTCCAGTCACATTACATTATGCTAGAGGCTTCCTCTAGTCATCTTACACTACGCTAGAGGCTTCCTCTAGTCGTCCTACACGAATGCTGGAGGCTTCCTCCAGTCATTCCTCATCGTGCTAGAGGCTTCCTCTAGTCACGATACTACTCACTAAGCAAATTCTATGCCTAGGTTTTCTCTATCTTGAGTAGCCTATGAGGCCTACTCCTAATGTAATTTAGCGGTTACCCATTCCTACCTTAAGACATCTCATAAGACTACTTAAGGTGCATCCTTCACAATCCAAGCCCTTAGGATTTGTTCTATCACTTTTTACGCTAACATCCCCGGCTAGTATTTCTATACTAATCATTTAACCTTAATAAGCCAATGCAATTTCATAGTAATTTGGCTATTTCAATTTAATTCCACATTCAAGTATAACTTGGTTCTAATATCAAAATATCACTTTTATCCTTCCATGACTTCCTTACATGAGGTAAAAGTATATTTATCACAATTCATTTATAGTTTACACGCTATTATACCATTGTATTCATAATACATAATCATACACAATTTATTCATAAATTTGTATATTATGCACTTTTACTTATAAACAATAATAATCTCATTTAGGCATTTTGTTATATTATAAATAAATCATGCCAAACACATATAATTCATTTAGGTAATCTTATGAAATTAACCCAATAATTATAAGCAATATAGTCGGTCATCCTCACCTTAATTGAGCTTCAAACCTTTCTTTCTTGATCCCATGGTCAAAGCTTTGGCCAAGGAAGATTGAGAACTGATTCCTTGCTTGGAATTGAGTGTTAAACAGCCTCTCCAAAGTGCTAGTTCAACTCCTAACCGAGGACACAAAAACAGTCCCTAGAACGGGTGTTCCCGACGAAATCGTTCCCTAACCTTTCAAGGTTTTGTCTAGATTAGTATCTAACTTTTCCAACAATTAAAGTCACTTTATAATAACATTTTATACACTTCAATCAGTGTATAATAGTTCTTCAATCATTTATATGGTTTAGACAATAGAGAGGAAAGTTTTGGATTCAAACTTACCTTGAATACAAAAACGTATTCCGCGAGGTTGTGTTTTGCTCGGACGATTTGGAAGCCTTCCACTACTCCGATTGATGCAAACCAGACCTTCACGGATTCCTCGTCTTGAGAGCTTTTTGTGGGTATCTCGCACGCCTTATTTGGATGTGTATAACTCGAGATATGAAGCAAACAAGTAACCTTACGCACTGGAAAACGAACCTGCGGCAGCTTCCCCTTTCTCTTGCTTTCTTGGTTGTGTGGCTCTCTCCTTCTCCCTTATCCTTGGGAGTTCGAATGAGGGGCTTAAGGGAGTGTCCAAGACCCTTCAATAAGGGTGGATAAGTTGTGTGGAGTGAAATGAATTGGTATGGTCTCCATGAGATGTTTTTAGACATGGGTGGGTCTCACTTTTGATCTCTTTGTCATAAGATGTCTCTTTGTACTCATTCTAATTTATTTAGAACAAGTCAACTCTCTACATCATATTATTGATCTCCATTATGTGTATGATCATCCCAATAATTTACTTGATGGATATTATAGAAGGAAAATCCTACTCCCATTATTTAGCTCAATAATGCCAAAGATGGGGTTATAGGCATTTGTATTCTTCTTTAATCATTCTATCACTTATTTGACATTTGTCATACATATTAATGGGCTACTAGCCATGTGGGTCACTCCCGAGTGGGTCTAGAACGCCATTCTCGAATACTTGCTATTTTTAGCAGGTTGGACTCAAAATAACGTTTGGGCCGTCCGACCTTACTCGGACTGTCTTGAAAGGTCATGTATCACAATTTGGATAATGTTGGGCTCTTTTATTTATTAATAAGACCCAAATAGTATTTGCATGCCCGTCACTAATATACGAGTTCGAACAGTACACTAATCGATCATTAATTACGTAAAACATTAATCGTTTTACAATTGTTTGGGAAACAGAAATCCAATACATAAACTTTGAATTTTTAAATCAAATTTTCAAGGACGTTCGGGCGCGGTGTCACACAATATGTACATATATTTAATTATTAGAATAGTAATCTCAATAGTACTAATCCTCAAAAGCTAAAATTAAAATATACAAGGAACGTAGGTACACTCTGGCCTTACACCACATATTTCCTTATCAAGATTCAACCTGGACCCAAATTCTGATAATGATTGAAAAGTATCCTACTGGAAGTCTAATGTCTTGTAAGATTACGAAAAGGGTGTGTAGCATTGATGTTCTAAGCACCTAAGAATTTATTGATGTATATCATGTTAGGAGAAATTTCAGATTCATTTTCTTATCCACTATAAATAATTTTGTTCAGTAAAGCATAAAAGCAACATAGTCAGCCTTTTTCCAAACCAGGGATCTGGATGCAGTAAGCCATGGATTGCTCTTACTCAGCCTTTTACTATATATTTGTATAGTCAGAACTCTAGAATCTTAAGATCTAACTCCATAACTTCATGTTCATTAAGAAAAATACACAGGTGACACACTTCGATTATTCTGGAGGCTTGTTTATCAAACAACACACTTTGATTGATAATAGATTCACTGGCGAAAATCGCAAGTTTATTGAAACGATTTCAAAACTGAAAAGGAAAAACACAGTGATCGGCGAATTCAAAATTGAAAAAGGAAAAACATACCGATTGATGTCTTCTTAATCTGGCGAGTCTTGGTGAGTCTGCATCAGGGAGAGGATTAGACTTTAGCGAGGAATGACGGTGGACGGCGGACGGTGACTAGGGCTCTGGTTCTCACCTGCTTGATTGCGGGAACGAAGAATTAAAAAAAGAGAGTAGAAATTAAGTGGACATGTTATACTTAGGATTTAGTTTTAATTTTGTGAATTATAAAAAACCGTCAGAATTTTTGGTTGCAGCCTTGTCCAACATATACTTACGATTCTAATGGTAACCGTTGGTATATCATGTAATTATACCAACGGTATTAATTTAAGTATTGCAATTGTCTAATCTATACTAACGAAGTTCATAAGGCGTGGATATACATAATGGAAAAACCAATGACATCGGGTTACCGTCGGTATAGCTATCTTATACCAACAGTAATTGCCTGTTGGTACAAATTGCCGCTGGTAAATGGCATTTTTTTTGTAGTGGTATGTATTATAATGTTGTTAATATTGATAACTGTGATGTTATAAATGTATAATTTTTAATATGTACTGATTAATTTGTCACTTAAGATTATTATTTGTTTCCTAAAATGAAAATGAGAATCTCTATATGGGACGTCCAAAAATAGCAAAGTGAGAACCTTCTAATGGGCCGGAGGGAGTATATATATATTTTTATGAATAAAAAAAATGAGAAAATAGGATCCTCTACACACAAAAAAAGGATCCTCTACATACACCAACTTCAACGAATAAAGCTAGAAAAGTAACTTCAATCTTACCTTTTCTTATTAGAAATTCACTGCACGAGATCAAAAGTTACGTGTTTGGTGAAAAAGTTGTCTGATAAGCTTAAAAACAATATATACCACCAAACGGCAAACGGGCTTCGAATGTGTGAAGTTATCCGAGAAAGTTTAAGTTACGTTTTAGCTGAAATGGCTCAATTTATTGGTAAAATTATTTTAGCTATTGTCTATTTCAACTCGATAATTATTTATTAATAAAATAAATACGGAGTATATTTTAAAAATAATTATTTATTAATAAAATTATTTTATTATTTATTTATTAATAAAATAAATACGGAGTATATTTTAAAATAATTATTTATTGGTAAAATTATTTTAGCTATTGTCTATTTAAACTCGATAATTATTTATGAATTATTTATTAATAAAATATGGAGTATATTTTAAAAATAATTTGTTATAATTAGTAGATTTAGCTAATTCCACTAATTTAGCGAAAATTTCACAATTTCAATAGATCCAACTTTACACAAGAACCTCTTAGGATGTTTTTACTGGACTTATTTTAGTCCCAGACCATACTAGACCATATCAGACCACACAAGACTTAAATAGACCAGACCAGACTAGGGGTCATTGGATATGGTATACCGAATATTTTCTCTCATACCATTTCCGTACCAAAACTTTCGGTATATAAAATTATATACTGTTACCTTACCAAAATTTCAGTATACCGTATTTCGGTATACTGAATTTTCGGTTCGGTAATGGTATGATATCGGTAAATTACCATGCATGTCTCTCAATACAACAAATTATGATAGACTAACGAAATATACAAAATTAGTGTCCGTAGCAACATCCTTAATCCATTATTAAAATGTTACAAATACAATAATTTTATATTGTTGACATATTCAATATTTAACAATAATTATTATTAGTATATTTATGCAGTTCAACATTTTACACATTAAAAAATAACACATTCTCCTAAAATAATTTCAACAATATAAATATAATTAAATCAATAGTGATTTCTAACAAAAAATAAAATTATTCAAACAACATTTATATGAAATCATTTATCCCTATATGATGTTGTGTATTTAGTCATTTTTATAATTTAAAAAAAAATGAATAAGACTTCCGGTATAACGATATGCCGGCATAGTGGGCCTTTATTTTTGTATATTTGTAATTGCATGTAGCCAACCTAAGTATTAATTTTGGTATTCAAAATTGTAATGGTACAACCACTTTTACAATATTTTAGAATTTAAAGTAATTGTTGGGAAGGTAGTCAGTACGGTATTATATTGGTATACCGAGTTATTTGAAAACATTTACCGTTACCGTACGGTATTATATCGGTATACCGGTATTATTTTAGAATTTAATGAAATTGGTCTGAAGAACTTTATTTGACACCGAAGAATTTATTGCAACCAGTTCATCAACTAAGTATTTAATTTCCCTTAATTAATTTTTCATAAATTGATTTTCCTTCTTTTTCATATTAGACAAGTGACGCTTAAGTTCCATAAAACGAGCCAAACTAGCAGACCGAAAAACGATTTTGTAATCGATCCCAAATCTCAAATGAATGTTTAAGTTCATGTACATCAATTAATACATCACAGGTAAGAGTAGCAAAAATCTAGGAACGAATTGTTTGATCAACCCGTAACCAATGGTAATAATCAATATTAATGATTTGACGATTATTAAAATGAATCATGTACATCAGAGGATTCGGAGGTACCTGTGTGGAACCATCTGGGAAGCTAAACATACCTTGAGAGACTAGGGCTATGTTTGACACAACGAGCTGGGAGCTGGAGGCTTTTGTATGAATTGAGGGCTATTGTCTGAATCAGAGGCTATTGTCTGGAACTGAACTTTGAATTGTTGAATCTGAATTGTTAGCTGAATGAAGTAAATGTGTTTGGTAGAAAGAGCTGGAAAATGCTCGAATACAGTGAAATTACAGTAAAGGGCATACAATTTATTAATTCAAGAAAATATAAATTATAATAATTTATATATATTTTAGAAGAAAAAAATTATACGGTATATAAAAATATCTCAAAGCTCCTACAAAATCTATTTAAAAAATAAGGGAGGATCACCTTGATTTGGCCAAGATGCATCTTTTTATATATATTAAAGTTGTGGGTAAGGTTTCATCTGTGCTTTGGAAGCAGGAGTATAGGAGGCAGGTACTCCGTTCATTGCTAAGAGGAATCAAGAATACTGCCTAGTGTGTTAAAGCCAAATTATCAGCCGCATAAAGAAACAAGCAAAAGAAGAGCCTAGTTTGAGGATATGATCGCAGAAGGGAAAGAACGTATAACTAAGTGGAAAGAGAAGAACGATACCAGGATAATTGGGGAATCTAAATTATAAAATTAATAATTTAAGCGGCTGAATTCAAACGCTATGGAGGGTAACCTCACGAATCAGCCCATCTTAATTCAGCCCTCCATCCAAACATGACTTCTTTTACCTATATTGACTGAATTCAAAGAATTCCAGCCTATTATAAGCTGAAAGTGCATGCCAAACATAGCCTAGGAAAGATTCAAACTGAGTGCGCCATGTGATGCAGTCTTCCACTGCATTGAGCTTGATCGTAACATATGAGTAACGTTGGAGATCGGAGAAATTGACTGGGAGTACTGGAATAGGGAGTTATCCGCCGGTCGAGATAGTCCAGGTGCACTGGAGAAGGCGGAACCAAAATAGCCTGGGCTGGAGCGCGGCTGAGGCATAGGAGTGGACATCGGGGAAGAAATGAGACCGCGTATATCTAGTATTGCAGGCGGCTGCCACAGAACACCGGAGGAGTGATTGGAACTAGGAATAAGCACCAGGAACATCCGCAACGAAGGAA